GTGCAACGGATTCTGCGGTGCCATGCGCGATGATGATCAACCTGGCAAAAGTTATGTCGAAGCAGCTGGAGGCGATGAAGACGAACCGCCTGAGCCTGATGCTGCTGTTCTTCGACGGTGAGGAGGCATTCCGGCAGTGGGGGCCGCGTGATTCACTCTACGGCGCCCGACATCTCGCGCAGCAGTGGCAGGTCACGCCTTTTAAAGATGGCGCCAATCATTTGCAGAGAATGGTGAGTTCTTTTTGCATTTAATGATGTTCGTATTGTCACGTGAACATATACGGTATTAAGTTTGTGTTGCTAGGTTATGGCACAATAATTTATCTGATTAATTTTAATGTGGCAATGTTAAATGCTAAAGGCAAAACGGTATTAATAATTACTAACTAAACTAATAAAAAAATGAACACCTTAAAGTCGCTTTTGACTGATTTGATTTAATCTGTTAAACTGTAATTTATATAAAATTGTCGCGGACCTTGAACTTGGTAAGAGCCATTAGTTCCAGCTCAGTATGCGCGCGGAAAGTCCGGCCGGGCTTTGAATGACCTCAGTTTTTGCGCCTTTTCCCATTCGCCTTGTAGTGTGTCTATTGTAAATAACTAAATTATCTTTATATCTCAATAGCATTATTGATCGATTCGATTTTCGTTTATTCCTTACGGATTTCTCAATTACTTTCGCATGACGTAATGATTTTTATTCACTGAATTAAACTCGTTAACCGTGGGTTTCTGAGTATTTTTTTAAAATCATATAGCTATGTCTGTTTCGTCAAACATAATGACAGAGATGACTATATATTTTATGTAGATATTTTGGTCTTAGAAACCATCGGTAAATGATCGTATTAAAAATAATACGATCTACAAACATAAGGCAAGACTTACATTTCCATGTAAACCAGCTTTTTAACGACACATTAAAAAGATACAAATCAATATATTTAAATGTGACTAAATCAAACTAATTTTTTTCCATTAAAACTCGTTTAATAGCCGTTTTATTTTCGTTATCGGTATTCGATAAAGGCGACATGACCTGACCTTATCCGGTGTAGACGTATTTTCAAATCTTACTATTATAATATTATAAATGCTAATGGTTAGATGAATGTTTGTTTGAAGGTATCTCCGAAACGGCTCAACGAATCTTGATGAAATTTACACAGATATAGAACATACTCTGGAAGACTTTAACAGTGGCAGCGCCCGCTTTAACATCTTCGCACGAATTGTCCCGGCTTGCCCGGTGAAATACCACGACCACACAGAAGACACGCCTCAAGTGGAAGCAATTCCGCGTTTCGTCTGATGAGTGTGTGTCCCGGAGGCCTAATTTAGTCCTCTTTCTCTTCCCACCCTTTTTCTTATAAGGAAAGGATGGGAAGTGTAAGTGGACTTTCCGGATGAGAGGATGCATCGGAAGGGAAAATATTTTCTTTCTGTGCATCCTCTCCTCCGTCGATTAAAGGTAGGCAACGCATATGCAAATTGCGTATGTCTATGGGCAATGGCCACTTCGCTATTTCAGCGATTTCAGGTGGCCGCTCGCTCGTTTGCCATCTTATCATATATATAATAAAAAGAACACATAGGCTATTCATAAAAAAAATACCACGCGAACGGAGGAGAATAATTTAAATGTTGTTAGGCAGATTTATCAAATTATATACTATGATAGTAATAGTGTTTAATAATTTGATAAGAAATAAATATGACGTGATTGCCATACAGAGTAGATTGAACAGACTATAAATAAACGATATTTTTGGACTTATAGTAGTATGTCTATTGTAAAAAAATACAAGGTTAGTGTTATTTCTATGGCAGATGCATTACTTTAGCAGTCCTTAGTTGTAAGCCGTACATGTCTCATGCTTTGCATAACAAACAGCCAAAAAGCAATCACGCATATACGGATTAAACGCCCAATGAATTGCAGGATATCAATACGTAGAATATTATAAAAACGTTTTGAATTAGTAATTACTAATTACCATCAAGGCCAGATTAAAGTTATTATAGAAAACTTATTATATATAAAAAAAACTAAGTTAGTAGCCTATGTGTTTTTCCAGACAATTCTACGTCTGTGTCAAATTACATCGGTATCCATTTAGCCGTTCTGGGGATACCTTCTAACAAACATCCATCCATCTATACCTTCGTATTTATGATATTAGTAAGATAGTCTTGTAGTAGTCCCTTATTCGTCGTTTTTCAATAAAAAAACAGACTTATATCAACCTAATCACGCATATTTCGGGCGGTAAGTATAAAATGAATAGAAGTATTTCAACAGAAATAAATATGTAGTTCCATAGAGTACATATACCATTATGGACTGTACCTACCATCGACAATAATCAGCTGTCATTACATGCAATAATGTGCTCATTTCACCGTGAACATGTTATAAGCGGCGAAACGTTTTATAGCACGTTATGCAAGGTTGCATGTTACATTTCGCAATACTTCGAATGTGTCATGATGTACTGGTGACTTTACATATTATTCCTCTATCATAATGTAACCAATTTAAAAAGACCCGCATCATGTATCAAGTTGTGTTGGTGGATAACATTGTCCAACCAATAAATATGCGACCAACTTTTAAAGACCCTTGGTGTATTAGGATGTTCTAGTTCTGTTGGACCTGCTGGGTTGTCCGGATCCGGTGTTCTACAGCTACTTCCAGGCGACAGAGAAGTGGTACGTGCGACTCGCCAGCGCTGAGCAGCGGCTGGCGGAGTTGGGTCAGCTGAGCGCGTACTCTGTTGGTAAAGAGGAACAGACCTACTTCAGGTTGAGGAGCTCCGGTGCCTTCATTGATGATGATCACGTACCGTTCCTAAAGAGAAGTAAGTTAACTTTTGTTTTTGTAAGATAATTTACTAACTGAACTTTGATGTATGCGGAATTGTACGTAACGTCTATTTTGATTTCCTTTACCCTAAAAACTAAAGCAATTTTGCCGAATGAGGTTTAGTTCGATTTGTATTTTTTCTCAAAATGTTATAGAGGTATAAAGTGCGGGTCTACATGGAGAGTTTTTATGTTTGGTGGGAGCATTTGATTTGGTACAACGTTCCCCCTTATATTTAAACGCTAAGAGTAAATCCCAATATCGCTGCTTCGTCTCCCTTACAAAAATTCAGTTGTGTTTTTTAATTATTATTCGTGTGTATATTACTAATAAATATTTTTTTACAAAATATACTTACGAGTAAATACATATTGTTGTGAAAATTTTAAAGTGAACGTGAGGAAACTCGTGATTTTTATTGTAACGACAGAAAATCAATCAATTGCGATTTTCGCTTCAAATCTACCATGTTATTGATAATCGCGATAAGAACATTTTCACACATGATTTGTACTTTCTTTATCAATGCAAAATATAAAGTTTTTATTTATTTATTTATTATATATTTATGGTGATGACTAAACTAACTAGAATAATGTTCTGACCAAAACGTAGATGTAAATTTTAATACCAATAAATAGAATCTAGTCACATCGAGTAGAGTCTATCCTACGTTTAGGAATAAAATCATAAAACTCACTATGTACAAAGTCTAATAGAATATTATATGAGTCTTGCCCTTGTTTTCTTTGGGGAATAAAACTGTTGATTACATTTTCAAAGGGCAACATTCTATTTACACAAAGTTCCGAATGAAATGTAAACAATAACGTACTCCAATTGCGTTAAAAAAAGAAAGAAATTCTGTAGGAGTATATTCAAGGTCCAAAGGGAATGTAATACAATTAAATTGCTACGTACTAACGTAATATTTTCTTTTTTCCAGATGTAAACGTAGTCCATGTGATTCCCAATCCGTTCCCGCACGTGTGGCATACAGCTGATGACGATATGTCCGCGTTAGATTTTAACACCATAGATAATTTAAATAAAATCTTCCGAGTGTTCGTCGCTGAGTACTTACATCTTCATCCCTAGCACTTACACTACGGTCACCCGACAAGATGGCGGCTCGAAGCAATCGCCTTGCTCAAACGACGTAACTTTTTAAATTGACAAGGCAAAGAC